TGGCGAAGAAGAGGAAGAAGAGGAAGAAGAGGAAGAAGAGGAAGAGAAGGAGATCCCGAATCGCGTTGGCCGTGTTCTCGGCCGACTCTTTCTCTCTGTCTTTCTCTCTCTCTTCGGAAGAAAACTCGACGTGAGGCTCCCTTTTTCCTCCTCCTTTTTTTTATCCGGCGGCTCCCTCCTCGTCGTCTTCGTCGTAGTCTTCCCCCACCCAGCGGGCAACGATGCGCGTGCCAGAAACCTGGTACACACACGTGCCATCCCCGATACTCGATTAATATTGCCGCCGCTTGTCAACCGACAACCCCTTAACAACCGTGCCATTCCATTTTTCTTCGTCTCGTCGTCGTCGATTTGGAGGAAAGGAATGGGGCAACCGTTTTTTTTTTTTTCTTTTTTATTTTTGTATTTTTTCTTCGATTCGAGTTTTCGTTTCGATTTTTTTTTCTTGCATAGCCGAGTCATTTTTCCGGAAAAGAAATCTTTTTTACATTTCCAATTTTAGAGTTTCTTAGAGTTTCTTCTTTTGTGATAGAATGACTTCCTTTTTTTCCAATGCGATTTCAGAGTTCTCGACCTCGATTTTTTCCTTCTTAGAGTTGAATTGAAAACTTTTGGAACAAAAAGATCTCTCTCTCTCTCTCTCTCTCTCTCTCTCTCTCTTCTCCATTTCGTGTTTTTAACGCAATTTTTAATTCAGGATTATGACCCTTTGAATTATTTGCCGATAAACTTTTTCTTTTTATCATTTTTCCATCTAAATTGGAAGATTTCCAATTTCGACCGACCATTTTCACAAAAATACGATCATATCTACTTTCCCCGTGGGTACAAACTAAAGCTATATAATTTTCATCGTAAACCAGATGCAAATCGGGCGCAAATATGGTCACGACGTATCGTAATGAATTGACTTTCTAACCGTGAAACTTATCGAGGAATTTCCTCGTTCCACGTGAAACACACAATGTTGCGCGCGCACGCGAGTTCGCGCATGCGATCTCGAATCCGGTATTACGCGTCAGAAAAACGGTCTCAAACCTCTTCGTTCGATCAACGTCTTTGGACACGCGCGCACAGATGTTTATTTCGCGTAACTGGGCGGCGTTACTCCCCCCCTCCTCCCCTCTCAAACTCTAGATATTGATACACGAGGTAAACGGAGCAAAACCAAGTATCGTGGCGTGACGAAAAGTAATCGTTCGTGGTTACGCCTTTCCTTTACACAAGCAACTCCGTGAAAATCCTCCATAACTTTTAGATTCTAAGTGAGACTCGTTAAGAATTTTTTTTTTCTGTTTCAAAATAAAACGAAGTATAATAAAACAACAACATTGGACTTTCCACTCTATGCGTAACTATTACATATCTCTCGATATATATAAAGGGTGTCCCAAAATTCACGCAAGATTTATATTTTGCGCCACATGCTGTCAACGAAAAAAAAAAGACAGCATGACAGTTGACAGTTGAGAATTGTTAAAATAACGAAGGTTTTTCGAACAAAATCATCTTCAGGCTCGTTTTCGTCTCGATGGATCGAGAAAATTGTCGCGTTCAGAAAATCCACGAGTGATCGTTGAGAAACAAATGCATCCAAAACGTGTCACTGCTTGGTGCGGATTTTGGACTAGCATCATCGAACCATTCTTCTTCGAAAATGCGGCTGGTCAGGCAATAACGGTTAATGGTCCTCGCTATCGCGACACAATAATTCCAGTTTTTTCTACTTAATTGCGAGATACGGATGTGGACGACGCGTGGTTTCAACAAGACGGTGCCACGTGCCATACAGAAACGATTCAATTATTACACGAGTCATTTCTTAATCGTGCAGTTTCCCATGTTTCGGTGATCGGAATTGGCCGATCAAATCGTGCGATTTAACACTGTTCGACTTTTTTCTTTAGGATTTTTTCAAGTCTAAGGTTTAAGTTCACGATCACTCACGCTTCGAAGGAAGAAACTTGCTGATGGAAAATTTCGTATGCGCCGGCAAAGCCGTGGAGGCCATTTATCCCATTCCGTACACAACTCTATACTTCACGAATCGATAAGAAATTTACAATTTTTAATTACAAATCTGTGTTTTCTGTCAAAATTACTTCTTGCTTGAATTTTGGGACACCATTTACTCGCGATACGTGACAAATTCGTTTATGCTGCTGCAAAAGAAGAAAACAATTTCAAGGTCTCCACAAATCCACTAATAAATTTAAAATTTAATTTAATAATGGAATTCGATGAATCGAAAATGATGTCGGAGGCGATTCGAAAATTGAGATATGGAAAACGGGGCCAATCCTGTCCCTTTCGCAATTCGAATTCGCGGATCAACGACTTTCATCGTCGTCCACCTCCTTGCGAATCGGTTTTTCGGGGATCGGCAGCAGCTGTGCCGATCTCCGCCAATTATTTCATTACGATGAAGGGGGAGGGGGAGAAGGAGGGAGGGAGCTGATGATCGCAATTTTCGATCCCTCCCATGGGAAAATTTCGATCTCCCCGAAGATTTATCGTCCCCTCCCCGCTTCTCGAACAGAGATTAACGAGCGACAATCAAAAAGTTTACGTTGTTGCTCTCCACGAGATTTCGAGATTTAATTCGCAGTGGTTTATACCATTTAATTTTTTACAAGAGCAATTAACTACTTTTAGCACAGCCGATCGCTCTTAAAAAACGAAAAAAAAAAAAAAAAAAAAAATAAAATAAATATTTTATCAAAATCAAATCGTAATACTGTTCATCGCAAATGAATATTCAAAATATTCATTGGTTCTAATAATTGTCAATAAGTTGTTCGTCGAAATATTTAGAAAAATTAAAAAATATTATTAATATTCTTCGAAGATTTTATGTAAAAATTATAAACCAGTTAAGGAGCCAATACTTTTTATTTTATGTATAATATATTATATATTTATAATATATAATTATTAATTAATATATTATATATTATATATTTGTGATTTGAACCCTTAGGAACTTAGGAAACGGATGTTAAGATGCTTGTTAAAAAGAGAAGTTATCCGATAGATACGGGCCTGAACAGTGATAATTTAACAAAACGACGATAAAAATTATAAAATTATAAAAAAAAAATGAAAGACACATCTGCATCGCTCAAACATTGAAAGGAATACAAAAATTAATAACTGAAGTTAACAATGTTATTATTATTCACAATAGATAAGTTAAAATAAATTTGAATATTTGATTTGAAATAACCGCGTGGTGAACGTAAAAAAGTTGTGGCAAGCGATTAATTTAGAAAGCGCTTCGAATTTGTATGTAAACATATCATAAACTGGACCTTGAGAATTGCAAATGGAAGAAACAGATGTTAAGGGAAAAAATGCTTATTAAAAAAAAAAAAATTTATCCTATCCTATAAATTATCCGATAGATATGGGTCTGAACAGTGATAATTTAACAAAATATAAACGATAAAAAATTGAATAAAACTAAAAATTATAAAATGTAAAAAGACACATTGTATAGCTCAAACATTGAAAGGAATACAGAAATTGATAACTAAAGTTAAGAATATTATTATTGAATTAGATAGGTTAGAGAAAAAGTAGAAAATTTCTACTTTTCATACGTTTCACACTCTTACAGCGTGAAACGATGTGGAACATATAAAAAATTATTGACAAGTTGCGCGAATTTTATGAAGTAATTACTTAACTTCAATTTGCAAAAAAAAAAAAAAAAGCTTATCCATAATTTATAACGTTTTAAATTAAAATAGATATTTCGAAATGTTGATAAAATTGAAATTTAAATTCTTCTTAATAAATATTTCTCGAATATCGAAATGTGAACCGATCAGTTATCGATTTGTTCTTTCCCTATATACGCGTATTTCGTTTAAAAAAAAAAAGATTTAAAATTTTAATAACGTATAGTTGTTATACATTGCATAATTTTGTCCGGTTAATATATATTATTACGAACCACTGAACCAATTACAGAGAGGAGAGAAAATTATTAAAAATTATTTAATAATTAATTATTGTATCATCATCGTTTATTTTATCGTTCAGTATATCTTGATTGATTTGAGATGATGTCGGAAGTATTTTTGATATTTGATAGACATGTAACAAGTATTTCCGAAATCGTAAGATTTGTGGTGAAAGTGGCAGTTTCAGCCAATTAATCGAAATTGTTAAATAATGGATTAACCACAATTCTTCACACAAATTCTTCCATCATGTAACTATATCGATATCGACGGGAGTGACTCGGTTGAATTTCAACTTTCAAACTTCCTTTCGTGTAACATATATTATAGAGCTGGCTTAAATTCACTTCACTCCGCAGAAACCGCCACAGCAGTTAATCGTACACGAATACGTGAAATTATATTCCCAGTTAGTGTGTATTACATACAATTATCTTATCTACATCGACATTTCACTCCTGGTTGATTATAATATACGAATAACTTTATTTCGACGATTACGTAAAACTTTGTATTTACGTCGCTTTATTTTTATTCCATTTCCATAAAAATAGGGCAAGTAATAAATTTTATATTCTACGTATGAAAAAGCATCTAACTTTTGGATACCAATTTTTAATATGCATGCACGATCAATTAATACACAGTCTTTGGATACCAATTTGAGGTTATCTAATACTTGTATATCTAATACGCATGCGCGCCCAATCGATACGTAGCCTTTGGACATTAATTTGATGTTACACTTGCATATCTAATACGCATGCGCGATCAATGGATACGCATCGCTTCACATACCAATTGAATGCAATTAAAGAAAAATTATGGCGCTTTATTTTTATTTCATTCCAGAGTAGGGCAAATAGTAAATTTTATATTTTGGATCTACGTATGAAAAAGTATCTAACCTTTGAATATCAGTTTTTTGATGTTACACTTGCATACCTAGTACGTATGCGCGATCAATCGATACGCATCGCTTCACATATCGTTTGAACGTAATTAAAGAAAAATGTGGTGCTTTTTTTTCAGTGCCACCGATGCAATTAATCTCATTTCGAGGGAAACATTGATTGCACCTTGTGCGAAAGGCTTCCGCCGTGATTAATGGAACGTGATCGTGAAGGAGAGACGATGAAAATGGGTTAAGTACAATTTCGTACGTCACCCAGTGCGAGAAGATAACGAGTTTCGTTTGGAAATTCCCTGTTTTGCGTGCATGCGTGTGTACAAAACGTACAACGTGCGTCGTCGTCCCGTTAACATTTAATGATTGTCGTTCCAGAATGAACTTTTGATAATCTTTGTTTCCGCATTTTTGCCGCTTTTTTTTTTTTAATGTCTCTCGCTTTTTAAAAAAATGTTTGTTTCGATAATTATGTGCTGATAAAATCTTCATTTTGAATTAATCGAGTAAATTATTAATTTGAAAATGTTACATCCAACAATATACCCATATATTTTTTTTTTTCCTAATTAAAAACTTTAATTTAAAAAAAGTTGTTTTCTCTTATTTCAATTTATTTATATTTAACATGATTTCAAAAATTACGAAACAAAACGCGAAACAACATTATCCAAGCATTTTAACGTTTTATATATTTAATATAGAACGAATAAGTAATAAATTCTCCACGTGTCTATAAATTTATTTATCGAATATATTCCTTTCGTTATCCATTTTAATTGGTATACTTTCGTTCTTACTATTATATATTTATATTTACTCCAATATATAATTTCAGACCCAGAAGAAATGAACTTTAATATATACACAGAGATATTGTACAAACTAAGTAAAAACTCGTGATTAACGTGGAATTCCAATAATTATTACCCAGCCAGAGTTATCTTTATCGTTGACACGTTGTAATCACGAATCTTGATCTTCCTGTTTCGCCATTCGGATTTTGTTCGATCCTTCGCAACAAAATCGTACGTTGTAGCGCAAAACGGATTGCAGGGATAAAGGTGGAAGGGGGACAGCGGATAGGCGTAAATAGACGCGTTTAATCGAGCAAAATAAATTGCAAGTTGACGTGACATATTCATTCGGCGTGAATATCCCTTTAATCTTCTCTTTAATTTTTACATTTTTTTTTTTTTTTATATATACTTTGTTTCGATGTCGCGTCGCGGGGCAAATATATCGCTCCATTTACGACACTTGGCACAACAAGAAATCGCGTGACCACGCAAATCTATCGAATGCAATTCTAAGAGTTTTTTCAAACCTTATTTCCCATTCAAACAATGCAACCTCTTCCCTTCCCTTTCTCTTCTCGCTCGATAACGCACCACTATCAATAACCTACCATTACTTTCTTTATTCTCTCAGTTACGATGTAATAACGGAGAATGCTTGCTACAAATTAATTATAGCCTCGAGCTAGAGCATTTAATCGCACGTTGCTTCCACGTTATACGCCAATTTAACGATTATTAAAAACTCATAATTTTAAATTATCATCATTTTTCTCATCGTTTATTCTTTCCGCCCCTCCCCCCTCCCTTTCTCTTTCTATTCTAAATATTAAAAATCATTATTTTTCTTTTTTTTTTTTTTTTTTTTTACTATTTATTTAATATATCGTTTAATTTCAGATTAAAAATGAAGGGGGGAGGGAAATTTCCCGAACACCAAAAATCATTATTGATTTTCTATTTTTTTTTTTTGCTATTTATTTAAAATATCGTTTAATTTCATATTAAAAATGAAGGGGGGAGGGAAATTTCCCGAACACCAAAAATCATTATCTATTTTCTTTTTTTTTTTTTTTTTTTTTTTTTTTTGATATTTACGTAAAATTTAATTTCATATTAAAAATAGGAAGAGGAAGGGGAGAGAGAAGTTTCGTGAATACCAAAAATCATTATCTATTTTCTTTTTTTTTTTTTACTATTTATTTAATATATCGTTTAATTTCATATTAAAAATGAAGGGGGGAGGGAAATTTCGCGAACACCAAAAATCATTATCTATTTTCTTTTTTTTTTTTGCTATTTATTTAAAATATCGTTTAATTTCATATTAAAAATGAAGGGGGGGGGGGGAGAAGTTTCGCAAACACCAAAAATCATTATTGATTTTCTATTTTTTTTTTTTTGCTATTTATTTAAAATATCGTTTAATTTCATATTAGTTCATTTATTAAAATATCGTTTAATTTTATATTAAAAATAAGAAGAAGAGAGAGAAATTTTGCGAAAATCAAAAATCATTATCGATTTTCTTTTTTTTTTTTTTTTTTTTTTTCTATTTATGTAAAATATTTAATTTCATATTAAAAATGAGGGGGGAGAGAAGTTTCGCGAGCACCAAAAATCATTATCTATTTTCTTTTTTTTTTGCTATTTATTTAAAATATCATTTAATTTCATATTAAAAATAGGAAGAGGAAGGAGAAAAGAGAAATTACGATCAAAAATCATTATCGATTTTATTTTTCTGTTATTCTATTTACGTAAAATATCGTTTAATTTTATATTCAAAATAGAAAGAGAGGGAAGAGAAAAGTTTCGAATGCTAAAAATCATTATCTATTTTCTTTTTTTTTTTCTATTTACGTAAAATATCGTTTAATTTCGTATTAAAAGTAGGAGGAAAAAAAAGGA